AAATTATGAGTTCATCAACGAAAGCAGAACAAAAATTGAATGGTAATTCTCAACTGTGTTGAGAATTAGATTGTCATTTTTTTCTATTAACTGTTTCAGGAAGTAATTATATATTTCTTTAATCTGAATGATGTGTCAATCAAACAAGGCAAAATTGGGGTCGAATGATAAGAAACTGCATGTAGAATTAGGTTATCATTTCTTCTATCCAACAGTGCATAATTTATAACCTATTTCAGAGTTTAATGGAGAAAGGTTTCAAAAAGGTAGTTTAGTTTCCATCAGAGGTTTTGCTTGAGAACCAAATACAATATTCCACTCTCTGCAGCAGTCTTTAAAACCAGGATTACCAATATTCATTTTTGCATCACATTGTTATACCAGGTGTAAAAGTAAAATTGTCCAATTGTTAGGTCAACCTATGAACTGCTGTATCTTAGAAATGATTAAAGATATCTTACTGGAATTCTTCAAAGTTTTTATAACACTATTATATGCTACTTTGAGCAATAGGAATGTATAACTACTCTCCAAGCTTAACAGAAGAATTGTGATGAAATTGATCATAAACGAAAATCACATGTTTATCATTAATTATCATAGCTAAAGATTGGAAGCTCATGAAACATTGAAATAAAAGTTCAATATATATATATATATATATATATATATATATATATATATATATATACTATTCAGGATCATTTTCTAACTTATTCAAGATGATCTTTGCCCTCTCTAACCTTCGAACTTTCAGTCCTAGCATAACAAGGTGCCTCACATGTTTCATGTAAGATTTCATTTTCAAGTTTTTTTTTTCTCTGCTCTTTGGACTGTCATAGCTGAAACTCCTCTCTCACATGCCAAACATCTTATGGATTGAGTTGGATCTTTTCTAATTGATCTCTTTAGCTCTAAGTCAGTGATTTCCAACCAATTTTAGGCTATGCCCCACTTTGGTATTTCTAAAACTCTGGTGCCCTTCTTAATATTTAATTTTTACATATTCAAAATTTTACTGCAATTCACATGAAGGAAGCTTAAAAGGCAATTAACTTGGTCTCTAAACAAGCCTCCAAAGACCATGGTGTCCATGAAAGAGTAAATAAAAAAAACAAAAAGACAGTTAAATATAAATAGTTTCAAAACATAACAGAACTGAAAGACAGAAATATAAAATATTTGAATGAAAGCTTATTCTGTAATATACTCTGGTCATCTTAATTATGAAATAATAGTGCAAAATGAAATCCGAGCTCATTAGAAAACAATTCACCATTAATAACTTATTTTCAAATTGCCCCCTTATTCTGTTAGTATAGTAAGCCGAAGGGTGCACATCCTACACATGCCCCACCAAAATATTATAATGCCCCACTGGGGCATGCACCCTATGTTGGGAATCATTGCTCTAAGTTGAAATGATAATCCCTTTTCCTGTTCTGACCTTCTGATCCAGTTTTCCTCTCTACTGTTCCCTCTTCTTTAAACTCATTCCCTCTTCTTTTGATGTTTTTTCAATGAACTTTGAAGATGGAAGCCAGTGTATTAATGTCTGTACCATTAATGAAGGACTGAATGATCTTTTTTCCTCTTACCATTGCTCATTTGGGAAGATAGTGGGGCTGACACAAAATGATTTTAACCTGTTCACTTTCTAGCTGAATTTTTCAGTGATTCCTATGACAAATGGTGTCAAGATGGCTAAATGTCTTATCTGAAAAAAATTAGTTTAGTGTTTTTTTTTTTTTAGATATTAAACATTTTTTGGGGTGGACAATTATGCTGTAACACAATTTGGACAATCTTGCTGTTACAAAATGAGAAACCAGTGCCAACACCAAAACAGTAGTCTTTGCTTTGTGTCAGGTGGAATATGAAGAAGTGTTGTCCATTACAATCTACTGGAACTTGGAAGGACCATCACTGTAGACATTTATTGTCAGTAACTTATTCAGGTAAATGTAGCATTATGTCAAAAGTGTCTGGCTTTGATAACTGAAAAAGGTGTTATTCTCAAGAATGACAATGCAAAACAACTCCTAGAGAAAATAAGTTTATTGCACATGCTCCATATTCACCAAATTAAGTCATTTACAGATTTTCATTTGTTTCGATCACTAGAACATTTCATAAGTGGTAGGACATTCAGAAACAAAGTTGAAAATAATCTTTCTAATCTTGGGTATGATGTTAAACTACATCTAGCAGCAAAGCCTCTGATCAAGAGATTGAAGGTTTTGAGGAGCATAGAATCACCTTTTAATTGCTGTTGTTCCCAGGACCACCCTGACCCACAGTGGTAGTACTTGTTAGGGTCCCAGCTATGGACAAATAGTGCACAGAAAAATAAAACACTATGAAAGTAGAAAAATACATTTTTATAGTAAAAATACAAGCAATACATTTTTCTATAAAAGAAATTACCAACAATAGTTTTTTAAAGCAAAATGATCAACAAGACATTTTATCTCTAGTTGAAGGCATACAATTGCATTCAAAATATATTTACTTGAAACCATAAAATTCTGTTCAAAATATTTAGATTTTGGCATTAAATAACCCATAGAGGTGTTGATATGCTGCTAAACAAAATCAGCCAAACAACCAACATGAAAGAACTCTTTCATGACATTAATCCACATAATATCCTACAATTAAAAATACATCATCAAACACTCATATCAGCACCTCAAGTAATCGTATCCACACAAAAGCTGAGTATTATCTACCATGTACTCAATTTTGGAAGCAGAATAACACCATATTCTTATTACTTCAAAGTTCCCCCCCAAATTAAATTTTGGCATGAAATGATCCATAAAAAGTTGATTATGCCATTAAACAAACAATCTTTCAAACTGTTGATTTGCGGCAAAAATGGAGACACAAATCTGAATAGCAAAAATGGAGGGTAGAAAAAAACTTGAGGGTGATCTGGCAAATACTAGGGGAGTGAAATATCAAGGTTGGGTGAAGTGAAAACTGGAGTGGGTCTGGAGTGGGCATTGAAAAATTAGTAAGCAAGAAAATTAAGTGAAACTGAAGACAGAGTTACAGAAAAAAAAAATGAAAACCTGATAAAATCACAAAGATGAAGGCAAAAAAAATTGAGTGCATAGCCAAAATGGCAAATGGAATGCCAAGATAGCACAGTGGAGATGGAAAAACTGGGAGCCTAGTAAAAAATGGGGGGGGGCAGAATACATGTAATTAATACTAAAACTTTAATCTTGTATATATGTATGTTTGTTCCCAAGATACAGTTTAAACAATACATAAGACTTAAACCAATTTAGGAGCATACTATACCTTGAACCTCTGCCAAGTGCAGTGCCAAATTTCATTAAAATTGAGCTAGGGTCATTTTTTTTTTTTGTTTTTATGGCATTTTGAATAGGAAATTCAATATTTGCTTTTGATACACATTTTTATACGAATTTGTTTATAGAAACAAACACTTGCATATTATATTCCAACTGTTATGTATGTGGAAATAATAAACATGTATAATACATTATAACAACATTATTAAATAAATTTAAATATATATAACACAACATATATTTATACAATTCACTACATTACATTAGAAATTTTTATAAACAAATATCTTGGATGTTTGGCAAGTATTTGGTAGGTGAAGATGTTATGTGAATGTTTTCAGTGTTAAATGTAATTTGTATGGCTGGAAAATTTTGTCAGATGACTTGATTATAAATAGATGTATGTTGATTTACTACTATTGCATATTTTGAAACAAGTATGTATAATAAAAGATATAATTATTATTTCGGAAAAATTGCCTAGAAAAAATTAAAACTAAGTGCACAAAAAGGAGGTATCAATACTTTATGCTATTTCAATAAATATGAATCTCTCTAAGTAGATGATTACAGTTTTTTTTTGTTTTTTGAAATGATCTTCATCTTTGAAAATTATAGTAAATACAAAAATTGGTATAAAATGTCACCCTGAGGTTATTATTAGTTGAATGGAAAGGCCTCTAGTGTGATATCAGATTGTAATTCCATTGTAAAAAAAGTAAACTTTTTTTTTTTGCAGGGCAATCTTTGCATGAAAGTGAGGTTATAGTCCTGGAACAATGACAGGCCTCCTATCTTATTCTTAAAGTCAATTGTTTGATAATTTAATGTCTACCATTAAATTTCCAGTAGAATTTTGTTAAGAAAATAATGTAAAGCAGTGAATTTGTTTGGCTAATTACCAAATACACCCCATCATATTGTATCATGAATACAATGGGTTTATGGTTGTTCTAGTAAAAACCAAAAATGTAGTAAAAATAGACAGAATTTCTGGAAAACCTAAAGGGGTGTGAGCAAAATGAAAATGCAGAAAAACCAAGTGGTGTAGAAAAAACAAAAAAACAAAATAACAAAAATATTGAGGAAATATAAACCAAGTAGACAGAAAAAAAAACTTGTATGTGGTATTGAAACAGGGTTAAAAAAAAAAAAAACAAGAAATTAGAAAGAATGCAAAACAACTTGAGAAGGATAATGAAAAAATACGTAAGGTGATGGAGCACTAGAAAAAAAAAAAAAAAGAGTGTTTCTAGAAAATAGTGGGGCTGAAAAATTTGGGAGCCTAGTAAAATTGTTGGGGAGAACACTCCAGAAGACATTTATATAATACTAAAACTCTAATCTTGTACGCATGTATGTATCTTCCCAAGATACAGCTTAAACGATACAGAATATTCAATTCTGGATTCCTTTTCTATGGCTTATCAATCTTTTACAGGTTATTTAAAGCCAGAAAATAGTTTTGTTTAGATCATAAGAATTTTCTTTCAAAGATAATGGTTTAGTGATACAAGACTAATTAACCCATAGCTAGGTGAAGAAGAGGTCAATTCATAACTTTCCCAAAGTATTTGTGTGTAAGTGAATATGATGAACCCAACTGGAATTTGAACTCAGTTCTTTGATTTCCAAATCCAAGCTATTATTCATTACATCACCTGCATATCTAAGCTTACAGCACTTTGTATTCCCAAACAGTCAACCATCTTGGTACTGACCAGGCTTGATGTTGCTTATCTTCAGTGATCGTATAGGAACTGATGTTTCAACATGATATGGCCATAAGCCTAACATGCAAGAAAGAAAAAAAAATGGAGTAAATAAGTTTAATCAGGTTAATTTGGGACTTTTGTCAGCAAGAGGACCAACCCAAAGTGTGAGGTACAAACTGGAGACATCAGAATCAAGCAGGTACAGAAGTTTAACTATCTGAGAAATATAACAGACAAAAGAAAATGTAGTGTAGAGATCTGAAGGCACATTGGAAAGATGCCTTTCAGAGGCCAAGCAAAATATTAAGAGATAGGAAAGTTTTGTTAGAAACAGAGAAAAAAGTGCTAAACTTCAATGTAATATAAATCATCCTATGTGGCAGTGAATACAAGAGAATTTCTTCAGAGATGCTGTTTTGCAGAAAGATGTTGAGAATACTATGGATTGAACAGAGACAGTTGAAATGTCTAAGACACAAAATGAAGAGAGAAGGCATGGAGAATTTAACACTTACAGGACATATCAAAGGTAAATGTGACAGTGGAAGGCAACTTCTAACCTGACACTAACTACTCTTCCTTCATCCACTGACAGAAATATTTAATTGAAAGACAATGCATTGGTTTAGATGTAATTGCATATCACTTATATTACAAAGAAAAGTCCACCAACCATGTACAGCTTGTTTGTGCAACTGCTAATGCAGCTTTGCATTTGTTTGCTTGCTTCTGCATTTAACTGTGTATCAATCTTTTCCTGACAGATATAACTAAAATTTTACTTGCAACCCCATAGTATATATGCAAAAATGTGCATTTGTTTTCTCTCTATATATTGAAATATATAGATTGTTCATGATGAAATATAGAAAGGACTATGTATATAGGATACACATGTTAAATATCCTCCTCTATATGGCAGTGAATATTGAACAATTTCCTCACAAATGAAGAAGAGACATCAAGCAACAGAGATGCAGTTCTCCAGAAGGATGCTGAGAATATGATGGACAGAGTATACATGAGCAATCAAGAATTTTTGAGAAAATGTTTATGAAAAAAAACAATCGGAAAGAAACAATTGAAATTTCTCAGACACATAATGAAGCACGGGGGATTGGCAAAACTTAACTCACAGAAAATATTGAAGAAGAAGGAAGGAAAGAAAAGAAGGAAGGAAAGAAAAGAAGGAAGGAAAGAAAAGAAGGAAGGAAAGAAAAGAAAGAAAGAAAGAAAAGAAGGAAGGAAAGAAAAGAAGAAGGAAAGAAAAGAAGAAGGAAAGAAAAGAAAAAGGAAAGAAAAAAAAGGAAGCCAAGATAAAAACTTTGGATGTTTCTAGCATCAAAACACACAGCATTAAATACAGTAATTTATGACTGATAGTAGTGCAGGGTTGTTATTTCTAAATGTAATTTTGGGCCAAGACTAACAGCATAAATTTTATAATGTAAATAAAATTACCACGCTGTCATGTTTCAAGAAAGAAATAATATAAGATTTAATTTATATATTAAATAAAAGAAAAACTTATTTGTTGAAAACTTAAACATAAAAATATAAACAAGGTTTACAAAAAAGTTGTTTTCTATTCTGAATTGCACTTGTTTCCTCAAAATTAAATCTATGTTGAAAAGAGTAATGGAAAAAGTTTTCTATATTTTATAATATAAAAAAGTAAAAGTAAAAAAATTTTAATGAGGAAAAAAAAAAATGAAAAATAAGCTTTTTATGCTTTGCATTAAAATGTAAGTTTTCTTTGGTTATGGTGATTCTTTTAAAAAGATGTGCATCAAGAAACAAATGATTGTATTGTCTTATAATGAAGTTGCTTTGAAAATAATTTATCTTTTAGTATGGTGTTGAAAGGTGAACATGAAAAATATATCACTATCATACAAGGTCACTTCTTCTAGTTGCACTTCTGATGTAATTGTAGACACTTTTCACATTACAATATTTTATTAATTTTAATAAAAAAATTCATTCTTTTGGATTTTATTTCAGATTGTATGCATCACTCATGAAACTGATTTTAAACAGAAATACACTTTTGTTTAGGTTTTGTTTCAGAAAATATGGTTATATAACTAATTTTTTTTAAAGATTTACCTGTTCATTCCTGCAGGTTTCAATCAAAGAATGTCATTGATAAATCATTCAGTCAAACAAAATCCCAAAAGAATGTTTCCACCTCATTATGAGAAAAAAAAAAAAAAATCAACAAAAATGAAAATGCTAGCATAAAAAAATAAAAATAAACAGAAAATAAAAGTATTTTCCAGCAGTTTACAATGATTTGGGTTTTTTTTTATGATTTATCAACCCTTTGCAGGTTATTTAGACACTTATCAGAAAGAGACAGTAGAAATATTAGACACATAATGAGAAAAGTGGGCTTGGAGAATATGACACTAACAGAGGAAAAAAATGATTAATCAAGATTGTGTAAATGATTGAGAGAATAGAGAATGGGAAGGATAGTAAAAAAAAAATAAAAATAAAAAACCTTGATAAGAGCTACAAAGTATAGGAAATTGTGGAGAGCCATAATTACCCATATGACACATAAAAGAATATTCTAAATGTTGATTATAATTTTTTGTTTCACAAACACAAACTGACCACTTTGTAGCTTGTAATTTTTCCTTTACTTTCATTTAAACTGAAAGAAATATTAATTTAATAAAGGCAAAATGTGTTAAATCCTAAAAAGATAAGGATATTAGTCTAATTCTATCAAGTTAAACATTTAAAAAAAGAAATTGTCATGTCCATTTACATCTTAGGTTTTATCAGTTCACAGAAAATAGCATTTTGCTGCTTGATAAAATAAAAGAACCCAAAAGAAATGAAAATGAGAAAAAATATTTGATTATTTTGTCAAACTTAATTTTTTGTAGGAAATTTGTATATTATTCTTTAAGTTCATTCAGTTTTTTGGGGTTTTTTTTTTTTTACAAGACAAAAATAAATGAGAATTTTAAAGACTTTTTACAAGATGGTACTATTCAAATAATGATGTGTAATTAATTTAATATTTAATTCAATCAGAAAATGAAATCAATCAGACCAATTAAATTATCAATATGACAGTGTTCATTGATGCCAACAATGAATTTCTCTGAGGCAACACTTGCCCACCTTGCCAGTCAATGACAATGATTCATGAAGACAAATCAAAGCTGACGATCTTTACCTGAGTTTTCTCATTTAAAATCATCACTTCATTTCTAAATGTTGCTCTTGTTTGAGCAAACAGAAACATATACAAGACTGGATTTTTGTTATTTAAGGAGTGTGATTTCATAAAAAGGAGAAATACAGCATAACTTTGCAGGGACAGAGCCATAAAAAGCAGTGTTAAGTTATTGTGCACAAGAAGAATGAATGGTGATAATGTATTGAAAAGAAGGAATATTGTGATTGAATGCTACATTTCAGAGTAATATTCAGAAGGGAAATTCGCCTTCAAAGATAGCCAAAACTATCAATGCCAGTAGACAAAAACAGACAGACAAATGGAAAACAGAAACTACAAATTAAAGAAAAAAGAAAAGAAAAAAGAAAAGAAAAAAAGGAAAAAAAGAGTCCTCATGATTTTCTTCATTGAAACACACAAGACGTTTAAACTGTTTTTAATCACGCTCAATTTTTATGGTAATAAATCAACATATGAAAAATAATCTTCCAAGACAGAGAGTAGAGTGAGAAAGGGGGAAAAAGAACAGAGAGGAAAGAGAGAGGGAGAAAGGGGAGGGAGAAAAGAGAGGGAGAAAGGGGAGGGAGAAAAGAGAGGAGAAAGAGGGAGAAAAAAGAGAGAAGAGAGAGAGAGAGAGAAAAAGGAGAGGGAGAGAAAGAGAGAAAGAGAGAAAAGAGAGAAAGGAGAAAGAGAGAAAGAGAGAGAGAGAGAGAAGAGAGAAAGGAGAGAAAGAGAGAAAGGAGAGAGAGAGAGAAAAGAGAGAGAGAGAAAGGAGAGAAAGAGAGAGAGAGAGAGAAAGGAGAGAGAGAGAGAGAGAGAGAAAGGAGAGAGAGAGAGAGAGAGAGAGAAAGGAGAGAGAAAAAGAGAGAGAGAGAGAAAAAAGAGAGAGAGAAGAGAGAGAGAGAGAAAGGAGAGAAAAAGAGAGAGAGAAAGAGAGAAAAGAGAGAGAGAGAGAAAAGGAGAGAGAGAAAAAGGAGAGGAGAGAAAAAGGAGAGGAGAGAAAAAGGAGAGGAGAGAAAAAGGAGAGGAGAGAAAAAGGAGAGGAGAGAAAAAGGAGAGGAGAGAAAAAGGAGAGGAGAGAAAAAGGAGAGGAGAGAGAGAGAAAAAGAAGAAAGAGAGAGAGAAAAAGAAGAAAGAGAGAGAGAGAGAAAAAGAGAGAGAGAGAGAAAAAAGGAGAGAGAGAGAGAAAAAGAGAAAGGAGAGAGAGAGAAAAGAAGAGGAGAGAGAGAGAAAAAGAAGAAAGAGAGAGAGAGAGAAAAAGAAGAAAGAGAGAGAGAGAAAAAAAGGAGAAAGAGAGAAAGAGAGAGAGAGAGAGAGAGAGAGAGAGAGAGAGAGAAAGAGAGAGAGAGAGAGAGAGAGAGAAAGAGAGAGAGAAAGAGAGAGAGAAGAGAAAGAGAAAGAGAAAGAGAAAGAGAGAGAAAGAGAGAGAGAGAAAAGAGAGAGAGAGAGAGAGAGAGAGAGAGAGAGAGAGAGAGAGAGAGAAAGAGAGAGAGAGAGAAAGAGAGAGAGAGAGAGAGAAAGGAGAGAAAAAACAGAGAAAAGAGGAAAAAGAGGGAAAAAAAAGGACAAAAAGTGAAGAGTGAACGAAAAATAGAGAAGAAGAAAACAGAGAGAGAGAGAGAGAGAGAGAGGACAAAACAGATGTAGGTTCTCAGTTACATTCATCAGCACAATAAAAATAGGAAAAATGTAATTGTATTCAAATATTTCAAGCGATATCTGCCAATACACAACTGGAATGACATAGATTTTCACACAGACACAGATTGCAGAAGTGTAGAAAGTAACTGTACCTTACTGATATATGAAACTCGCATAGTACCTGTCAAAAATGACAGATTTATTTACATATGAAATGGCACTTCTGCCACAGACCAGAGTAGCTGTGCACTCTACTTGGGATCAAAATGTTGCCCCAAATCATTTCTCTATCAGATTAGTCTATAATCTGAGTGTTATATGAAAAGTGTCGCACATACATGCACACACAATATAGACATTGACTGCCTATCTGTTTATTTCCACACAAAGAAATTTTAGGAAACGCAAGGGAGGAAGAGAGGAGATGACAAGGAGGAAAAATATCAAGGAATGGACCAGACAAAATAGCACAGAGAAAAAAAAAAATTCTACTTATCAATGACAGTTTTTTTCTTGATCAATCAAAGCCTGATCTACCAAAAAGAAATAGCAATATGGTGATAGATTTCACACTGCTTAGTTTAATAGTCAGAGGAAATTCAACCTTGTGAACAAAAATAACAAGGGGGGGAAAAAATCATGAAAACACTCCACACAAGAATTCAAACAATTTCAGATTAAGCCTGTGATATCTTAAGAATGTCCCCACAGTCTCATCACAAATAAAGGTTCCAGGTTTGAAATTTTCTTTCACAGATTCTAAAAGATCTTCTCCAAAGGGTAAAATTCAAGATAATCAACATTCTAACATTCCAATAGTTGCTCATACAGGTCATACACTTTTCTTTTTTTCATTCTTATTTACTTTTTAGCTTTACCATCATTGTCATTTTAATTTAACTTTTCAGCATAATTAAATAAAATGGAAGTGACAATATTTTCATTAATTTAAACTAACTTCACACAAAATAAGTTATCAGGTTTCATTTAAAAAATAAGAAACAACCTGAAAAGGCACATTTATATTGAGTTATAAACTTAACAAGACATGGTGTAGTTTGTAACAAGTGTGGACAAACCTTTCTAAATCTTAATTTGAAAAGTCAAGCTATGAGGAAAGCTGAATAATCATCATCTGGGTTCAAAAGAATCTGCAATATCATTGGTCCTGACCTGACATCTTGACTTCAATCACTTTCTCACCACTATAACATAGCTCCCCTGTGCCCTTTCTACAAATATTTTCATGGGAATTGCTCTGATAAACTTTCCTCTTTAATACCTCAACTTTAAAAATTTAAGTGCAGTACTAAATTGGTAGGTAGGTCTCATCATTTTACAGTTAAAATGGCTAGATATAATCTTGTTCTATGCTAACAGTTTTTCCTCTTGCACTTGTCACTTCCAGTCCCTGCTCAGCCATCCATTTACACAAGCTTGTTAGTTGATTACTCACTGCTTTCCTTGATCTCTCTTGCTTTCAATATGACCTGTGAGTATCA